GGTCTTCTCACGGTGGACCCTGCCAAGCGACTGAAAATGTCCAACTTACGCTACAGCGAGTGGCTCCAAGATGGAAGCGCCCTCTCTTCCACCCCGCTCATGACGCCGGACATTCTCGAGAGCTCCGGACCCGCTGTGCGAACGGGCGTCAACGTCACGTTTATGGTGAGCGCTCCAGTTTTTAGGCTGGGAAAGTCGTTTTCTTTTGTGGGGACGGAGGGGATGGGTTGATGCAAAACCTTGTCTTATGGGGGGGGGGGGGTTGAGGGAAAAATGCAAAAAATGATAGGCTACAACTCAAAATAGGCTTAGCCTTGTCTGTGTTCACCCAGGTGCTTAATCTATGGCGCACTAAATTGTAGATTGCCTGGTTTGGCTGGTTCCACTTCCAGTTGCTATGGACCGGGCGTGAAATCTTTTTTGTTGGGACCACAGAAATAGTTCAGGACAAAATGCCAGAACAGAGGAGGCCTCAACAGTAGAGACGCTTAGAGGATGTGCAGATGAACCCTGTTGAAGTTGGGCAACCCTGTTAGGCAACGGAAGCCGGTGCTTGAATTCTGCTGGGATCAAAAAACCAGTCTCTCTCTTTTCTAGGCCTTTAACAAGGGGAAGCGCGAAGGGTTCTTCCTGAAGAGCGTGGAAAACGCCCCGCTAGCCAAACGGCGTAAACTCAAGATGTCGAGTACGGGTGTCGAGGGCCGCCGCAGCAGCAGCAGCAGCTCCTCGTCCTCCTCCGGGTCCTCCTCCCGCCCCCCGAAAGCCAAGGTCCCCACCGTTCGCCACGATCCTCCCTCGTAGCAGCCTGGGGAAGGGGCTGAGCACTGAAAAGCTGGATGGGAAATGGGTATTTATTGTCTATGTTGCTGTTCGGGGAGGGGGAACACGGCTTCCGCTCCCCCCCATTTCCACCCCCCCCCCCATGATGTGGTGTCTTCGTTTAGAATGGGGCACATTTTGTAGTACAACGTGACCATTCTCTGTCGGAAGGGAGAGGAAAACCTGGAGGGGTTAGGCAGAGAGTCGGGGCTTTGGAAGCGTTTCCCCTTATTTCAAGGCCAAATCAACATCTGATTCCACAACCAGCCATCCCATTGCAAGGATACAGCCAGGAATGTTCCGCTAGTTTGATGTTTTGGGAAACCGATCGGCCCGGGGCGATGTGGGGAGCGTGGCCAATTTTGTTTCCTAACCCCCAATCAGTGCACCACTTTTCTGCGCACGAGGGCTGCTCCCTTTTCCCCGAGCCCTTGATTGGCGGGTAGAGGTGAAATGAACAGAGATGAATCAGGCGATCACCGCTACAGGGCGCACCTTTCCCAACGACCAGCAGAGGGCAGCCGTTCTTCGTCCTCACCTGGTGGTTAACTGCATTTTTTGCAATCCAGCTATGACAAATTATTCAGAGGGGCCCAGCTAATAATTGTTGGGTGGTTTTTATTAATGATTGATGGCATTTTGGGGTGGGGGGGTAAGCAGTAGTAGGAATGGATTTGCTCATTCTGAGGCCAAAGCTGGGGAAGAGGGAGAATATTTTTTCCAGTGGAATACCCCTTAATCTTATTTTTTATCCCCGTACTCCTGGGTCGGATAGGCGGAGCTTAGCACCAAGATACGTTTAGGTTCAGACGTTGCGCTAAGCCGTTTCAACTATGATTAGGGTTAGTTTGGATGTCACACTAAGGCAAAACCAACCAGGTCATGATAGGTTGGCACAGTGCTTACGACTAGGGCACTCCTGAACCTCAAACTGTTGTTTAAAAACCCAGGAGCAAGACAACTTTCTTTTTTTTTAATGGGCATAACTCTAAATTTCATTCTGAGAAGGATGGACGATAGGGCTAAAGGATATATATGTATGTATGCGTGTATGTGGGTGTGTATATGCACAAGAGAAACTGAAAAACAGAATAAGATGCACCAATCTGTTTCTGTATTCAGAGAAAGAAGCCAAATAGGAAATATTGCAGGAAAATGCATAGGGGAGGGGGAGTCTCTTAAATGACACCCCCCCCAATCAATCATAGAATTATAGAGATGCTTCATCTCTTGATGATAGGGGACAATGGGGACTTGGGGTCTTGCCTTACGGCCCAGTCAAATCTATTTTTCTGGGTGAATCTGATAAGCTCAGGCAGTGGGCGGGGGGGGGAAGGGAAAGAGTATATTTTTAAGAAAGCGAGAGCAATTTCTGTCTGTATGTTTAAATATATATTGAAGGCAAGCATGGGAGTGAATGTGTGTGCAAGATAGCGCCTTTGAATTTAGAATCTTTGTGCGAGAGAGGGCCGAAGTTTGCCTTTTCTCCCACTTCAGGAGGAGATAAAACAAGCTGAGATATAGAATGGAAAAAAAGGCATCACGTCATTATGTAGAATTCTCTCCACAGGCTTGCTTACAGGGACTAGATTTTTATTTAAACCCTTATTTCTCACAAGGGAGAAAAACATTTTTTTTAAAAAAAGCAAAACTCTGAATTCTACTCAAGGCTCTACTTCAATTGACTCAAATCACAGGCTTCATGTTGCATTGTTAAGGATAGGATTATTATTGACGTTTTCAAGTTTTGCTAAATTCAGGAGGGGCTATTATGTGCCAGGCCATCTCTGGCTACACAACTGTAACCTTCCTACAGCAGTATTAATTGCAATTATTTTTAATCCCATATTGCTTACTATCAGGGTAAAATGGTCATGTTTCAATTTTTATCCCACATAACTTGATATGTATTTGTCTCAAATAGAAATTTATTGCAGAGATCTTTGTGCACAGATTTTGGTAACTTAATATGTGCTGTATAAGCATTCTGATGCATATGTATTTAGTGTAGAAAAAACTGGTGCCTTTCAGAAAAGTCAGGGCTGTTATGTCCCTGAATTCCTGGCTGGAAATTTGACAGGTTTTAAGAATGGAAGATCTTAAGATCTGAAACTACTAAAGCTGTAGATGGATGATTCTAAGGGATATGAATGAGTAAGGGCTCTTTTAGATTCTTGAATCTAAGAGAGGAAATATAATTGTACAAAGAGCATTAAGAAAAGGGCCTGAGAGAATGGAGGGAGGGGGAGAGATAGTCATATAGTCACTTTAAAGGGAAGTGCAATTAGCAATGTATGGTTACTTGGAAGATGAGAGGGGAAGGGGAAAGAGAATGAGCCATGCCCAGCTCCAGAAAAATGGAAACTGGTTCACTGTTTTTCACAGGTTGTCTGCAAGTATCTAGCCAACCCACTTTGAATGGGAAGTTTAATGATACTCAGATCGTTTGGAATAACTTTAAAGAATCAGCATCTCCCACCATCTAAAACTGATAGGTAATAGTAGTATTAGGATAGCGATAGCTTACTTTAAAGAGAAAAATTCAGCCAAGGAAACGGTGCTTTTCCCCTTCTGCAGTTGGTGTTGAGGACGAAGAGAGTGAAACCAGAGGTAGTTCTATTTTTAGACCAATAATCGGGAACTTTTCTTCTTCAATGTGACATGGCCAACATCTTTCTCCAAAGATGAATTGGGAATTCCTCGTATTGCTCCTAAATACTTTGTGCTGATCTAAATATTAGGGGGAGGAGTAGATCTGGTGCTTTTAATCACAGTATCTTGCAGGAACCATTTCCATTCCTGGAGGGGAATTCTTCTCTGGCAGAGAATCCATTTTCCCTGCACAAAAATTCACGCTTGACTTTGACACCTCAGGAGAGTTGGTGATAAATGGAGGAACCCCAAGCATGTCTACCTTACCCGTCTTTCACTAGCATTGTGTTAACTTGACGTGGAGTCTAGATCAAGGGATTTGGGAAGATGCAGGCATCCTTAACGAGGCATTTTCTGCACTCTTATTAAAAAAAAAAAATCAGTTTCCCCTTTGGAGGAATGGTATGCTAACTTCATCCTGTTTCTAACCCAGTTGAAAACAGTAGTACAAATGTTACTCTCAAAAGTTTTGCCAACTGCTTCCCTCCTTCACAGTTTTTGCACTTGGCAGCTGTTTAACGTGAGGAGCAAAGTAGCTCCCCTTCCACAGGGTGACTATACGTGTGCGCGCGCGTGTGTATATACGTGGGTATGTCTTAACTGCCATATGCCCTCCACTCCTGCCAAGGAGGAGATGACTGAGTGGAGTGCATTCTTGTACACCCTTCTTTTAAGTAGCACAAGAGGCCAAGAACCAGCCATCAGGGGTATCTTGTCCATGCAACCAAACCATGTGTATTTTTTATTTGAAAATAAAAATTGCCTCTGAAGCCAAGTCTCTCTTTCCTGTGACCCTGGATTCCTTTTGGCATTTTGTTCTGCAGCAAAGGCTTATGCAAAACAAGATGAGTCACGTTTGGCCAAAAGGGACAAAGACGGATCATGAATGAACAAGATGGAAATACTCAGCCCTACAGTGTATTGAAGGTGTCCGAATAAAACTGAAATATAAAAAGGTTATTCTTTTATGCCACTGGGCATACAGCCCCCTGCTGAACACATTCCCTGGAAATTTAGAGGGCTAGTAACGTATGCTAGACCTAACCTTGGGGTCTCCCTTGCTTTAGATCTGATGCCAAAATCTACAAATTTACCTATCCAGTTTGAATTTCCTTTTAATGGCATCCCAAAGCTTCACTAATTATATCAACAGTATCTTTCCCCCTACCCCAGACTTCCCAGACAGGTCACCATAACTGGCTCCCCATTCACTGCTTTACCATTCTGAATTTAAAGAAGTTAACAGCTGTCTCTTTAAGTGACTTCAGTTGGGCTGGACCGCAACTCCCATCCCTGTCAAAGTAGGATATGCTGGCTGAAAACTACAGACTTTCCACATCTGGGAGGGAGGAAAAGCCAAGAATGGCCATTCTAAGGAATCTGCAACCTGCATGGTGAAAACTGAGTTTTTAGAGGTGGGAGGAGGCAACTTAAAAAACTCATTTCTAAGCTACTAAAAAGGTATGACTCCCCTCCCTGCAAAAAAACCCTGTCTGTCTTCAGGGCATGGTTTCTACATAAGCAGATGGGCTCCACCAGTTTGAAACACAAAAGTTTATTTAAAAGAAGAAAAAAGAAAAAGAAACCTTACATCAACTGGAATGGAACAGAAGCATTCCCTGAAGCCATGGAAAGGGGTGTGGGGGGGAAGAATGGTATTTATTAGGTTAACAATTACAATATACCCAAGATATGCAGATGGTCCTAGGAAGACAACTGTAGTTGGCGTAAGTATGCTGTCAGCTGCATACAACAAGAGTCCATGAATGCAGAGGGATTGGGAAAGAACGGCAGTTGCAAGGCAGGGGCCGAACCAGGGAAGGGGGGCAGCCTCACCTCTCCCACCCACCCCCTGTCCAAGTCATCCCGCGCTCCACCTCTCTCCCCAAAGGCTCCGAGCCGTGCTTCCTGCCATCCCAGCTGCGCCCACCCCGGGCACGAGGAGGGAGGGGAGAGGGAGGGAGGCAGGGCATGACCATAAACTGCTAAAGCATCGATGAAGCGTGAGTTCCACACAGACAGGAGGGGCTGGATAAGTTCTCAGTGGGAAGCGGACCGTCCTTCCGTTCTCAACGGGCGGGGGCGGGGGGAGGCAGCAGCTTTTCTTATTTGGCGGTCATCATCTGTACAAACTCTACAGGAGCAAGGAGACAGGAAGGAGAAGGCAATCAGGCGCTTCCGAGGGAGGGGCCACCGAAAGCACCCCCCGCTCACGAATCTGCCCTGTTTAGACCAGCAGTTGTCCCGAGAACACGCACTGGATTATGCGCCAAAATGGAAGGAAAAGACACCAATGCAGCAATCTCCTCTTTTATGCAGATCATAAAAGGATGAGCTGAACCTCCCTTTTCTTCAAAAGTCCACAAGTTTCTAGCCCCCAGTGTTCTCAAGATATCTACCTGCCCATTCCGCTACACAAGATGGCCTGGAATAAATGCAACGTGCCCAAGATGGTGCAGTCCCCGGCCTTCCGCCTCAGATGCCCAAAGATGCCCCCCGCCTTCGCCCTCTTACCTTCATAATTGACTTGCCCATCCCCGTCTATATCCGCTTCTCTGATCATTTCATCCACCTCCTCATCCGTCAGCTTCTCGCCAAGGTTGGTCATAACGTGGCGCAGCTCTGCAGCACTAATGTACCCGTTGCCATCCTAGATACGGAAAGAAGAAGGGACAGGTCAGATATGTGGGACATGCTGAACTCCAATGCTGGCTGGGGAATTCTGGGAGTTGAAGTCCACCCATCTTAAAATTGCTGAGGTTGAGAAACACTGGCCTAGATGAACGTCTCCCTCCTCTGAAAATTTAACCCACAAACCATTTCAGCAAAATCATTTATATTAGGCCAAATGAGGGTCTACTGCTAGAAATCTGGTGCTTGGGCTCCTCAAAATAAGTTTCCAAACTGACCCTGATGCCTTAAAAACAAAGGTGTGCTGAGCATGTACAGAAAATAACTCTCCCCCTCTTGCGGGTGGACAAGACTTCCAGCAAAGGTCTGTTTTCCTGCAAAATTAAACTCACCTTGTCAAAAACTCGGAAGGCCTCGCGGATCTCTTCTTCGCTGTCTGTGTCCTTCATTTTCCGGGCCATCATGGTGAGGAATTCTGGGAAATCAATTGTGCCATTTCCTGGGAAAGGATCAGCTATTTAGTCAGATCAACTGCACAGCAACGCAGAAGTTTTGTCTGCCCTCCCATCTAGAAAGACAAATGTCCCCAGGAAGAAAATGAGTATTGAAATGCTTCCTCCATTCATACAGGACAGGGAAGAAAACAGCCAACGGCCAAAATAAGGATGGGCAGCCTTAGTTGAATAACCCCATTCTTTTTGTAACCTACTCTGCAAAATTTCATGCTGACGTCTTGATTTGGCAAACAGCCTCCCTATAATTTGTTTTGTGTGAAGGATAATCTGGACAGCCTCTAACAAGCCCCCCTGTTGTTAGATTCAGCTTGTTAGTTCAATTCTGGGCAAATTTCATCCCACTCCCTGCTCCAAGGCTGTTGGGGCTTCTATGGTCCATGGCAGAGAACTCAATATTTGCTCTCACCTAAATGACCACCACAGGATGGTCAGTACTACAATTAAACCAACTTCTGCTTCCAGGCACCTAAGGAAGACCGGGATCCCTGGATCTCTTTGCTACCTACACACGAGAACGTACACATACAATGGTAAGATTCCCCACCAAAGAAAACTAGACAGCCCTAACTGGAAAGTCTGGAAAATTCAAGATTCGGTCTACCATTAGTCCCTCCCACCCAGCATCCAGTAAGAGCCCCGCTCACCATCTGCATCCACTTCATTGATCATGTCTTGCAACTCTGCCTCAGTGGGGTTCTGACCCAGGGAGCGCATGACGGTGCCAAGCTCCTTGGTGGTGATGGTGCCATCACCATCTTTGTCAAAGAGGGAGAAGGCTTCTTTGAACTCTGAGGGAAAGAAATGCAGGGGGAGGGAAGAGAAGAGGGCAAGGTCAGATCCAAGAAGGACAGTCCCCTCAGCCTCCGGCAATTACCCCCTCTATCCAAACAAAGCAAACAAGGCTATTCTGTTGTATTTACAACATTAATGGCTTAGTCTGCAGTCTTCCCCAGCTTCTAGATGCCCTGCAGGTCTTTCTCCATCTCTCCCAATCAGCACGGACATTATGGACAGCTAGTTAATCCATCTGGAGGGCATCAAGCTGGGAACAGCGGCCACAGCAGACAGGGAAGATTAAAGGAAGACCCTAAGGGCTAAGTTCACGGAGTGGGCAGTCAAGGTTCTGTATGTTCCTAAGAACAGCCCTTTGAGGTGGGAGACCACACGCTGCCCATTTTACAGATGGATGGCAGGGACGGGGAGAATGCAATCTCTTTGTCTAAAAGGCAATTGAGTTCACAGCCAAAGATGGAATCTGGTTGGAGGTCCATGTTCCAGCACCAGGTGTTTGTTCTCCAAATGATACTGTTGTCAGTGATTTGCTACTTTGATCAGTTCTGCAACTCCTCCAGGGAACATAACATTCTCACCTGCAATTTGCTCCTCTGTCAGTTGGTCAGCCTGCAGAAATAACAAGGGAAAGAAAATAAAAAGTCTAAATCCTTTTATCCACGCCAGTTCCCTACTTATACCTTTCCTGAGCTTCATGCTGCCGTTTCCTGCATGGAGTGAAGTTGGAATGAAGCAGAGCACTTCACCTAGAAGGTGCAAAATTAAGCTTTTTCTGATGTTCTACCCCCATCTTCAGTTTGGAAACAGACACCCATCAGCCTCCAGGTATGAATTCTTTCCAACCACCTTTGTCTACTGGGTTCATCTCAGATCCTTCTAGTCTTGGATTCCACCTCCAATAATCTTTACTCAACCTGGTCAAAGACTACTCAGGCTCGGAAATGAAATTCAACAGAGCTGAGTTAGGCTGAATTAGCTCTCCCGTTAAAAGAAGTAATACCACTGATACTTGCATCAATATTTGACTTGAGATGATTAGCATTTATTTATTTCAATATCTAGAGTGCTTTAAGTGTTAAATACCAAGAAAAAGAAAGATACAATCTAAATCTCAATGTGGGAAAAACCAACTGCAGATAGTAGAGATGAGGGACAGGAAGGGGTTTATATACAGCTGCTTCCATTCCCCCCCCCACTTTTGCCCATCAAAGCATCAACTATTTCATTATCTGCAATTTTAAATCATTGAGGGCATTTCTAATTCTCCGCCCCAGGGTAATTCTTGTTTCAGTTTTTATCTGTGCCTCCTAACTGTCGGTTCTTCTGTAACGGAGACAATGAGAGAGGAAGAAGAAAAAATGCTGACAGCTCTTCTCTCAAAATAACAAAGTTACAGCACTAGGATATATCACAACACACCAACATCAGTGCTTTCCGTTCTCCTCTTCAGTCTATGCATACCTCAAAATTTCCAAGCCCCCCACATACATTTGCACAAGGCTTTTTTCATTACCAGCATCTTATTCCATCAGGAGTCCAAAACTTTTTATCTTCTCTTTCTGAAGAACTTAATAGTTTTGCTCACACAATGAAGGGGGCTACTGATGTTTTCACCTCAAAAGCCTGCCTTGCATTAACCACCCTTATTAACCAGCCACATGCTATTAACTAATCTCTGTTTCTACACTTCTGTAGACCCTCAAAGAACACTGTCCACTTTCATCAACCTCACTTCCTGTCTTCTTTTTACGAGACCCTCTTCCGGATACATCAAGGACTAAGAAAACTCTTCTGGTTCCTGCTTCTGGCATTTTAAAGGGTCTTTAGGGATCTGTCACCCACTCAACTTGGTCAGGTCACAGCAAGACAGGTTGATTCTCAGCAGGTCATCTTACTGAACAGCGGACCCCACTTTTTAGGTTAAAGCCTCGTTTTAGTCCTACCTTTCCCAATTTAATTCCATCCACCACTGGGTGGGGTGGCAATGTCACACACACACACACACACTTATTTATTTATTAAATTTGTATGCCACCCATCTCCCCCTCTCTACTTCCTCTCTCTCTATACAATTCCTGAACCATCAAGGCCTAAAATAATGAGATAAAACGCCCAGAAAATTCCCTTTTTCTTGGGTCAGGGCCTCTCCGTTTCTCCCACTTCTGTACGCGAAACACAGACATGCTTATGGCACACTAATTGCGTAAGATGGGGGGCAACTTGACCCCCTCTGTTCAAGGCCCAGCCTCACGGCAAGGATCCTTCGTCCCCTCTTGGCCCCCCAACGCACCCCAATCCCAAGATGCC